AGTGCAACAACAGATGATGGGTCAAAATTATCAACATCAACGTTATGGTTAAATAACAACTGACAAGATAGTTATGGTTTAGGTTTAGGCTTAGAAACATCAGGTCGTGATAATGATGTGCTAGGAATGATAAAAAAAGAACGAACAAGAAATTTTGAAGAAAAATCAACATCATTAACAACATTAAATAATTAAACAAAAGAAAAATAATTTTTTGTATAAAATATCGATGATAATCTGAAGATGACATTCGTTGAATGAATTTGTCGAAATATCATTATTAAAAAAGAGAAGCTATTAAATCAAACATCATAGATTTAGCTGCACTTAAAATCTACATTTTAAATAGATTTTTGTTCTAAAAAAAAGTCATATCTATTATTTAGCTAGTTTTACTAACTCTTGCTTACTATTAGATTTGGAGTCATAGTCTCTTGCCCTCGCCTCCTGCAATTCTTCTATTAGACTAACATCTTATGCAAAATGCTCCTATTACTTGGGATTTACGCAAGTTATGATAATCACTCATATATTTATAATTTAACGCTAGTAAAATGAAAAAATGAGATATAAAAACAGAGGAGGTGTTGCCGTCTTCTTCAATTTCACTGTTGGCGTCATCAAAAGAGTAATTATACAAATGAGAAATGTATATTATAAGTAACGTATTAAATTAGATAGGTCGATATATATATATATATATATATATATATACGTAGTTCGTGACTAGTAGTTGATTACTTTTTAAAATCTTCTACATTTGAATCTTGCATTCTCATTGTGTCTCATCGTTGGAACTAACAATGCAGGTAAGTTAGAATAGAAATTAAAAGATACTATGTTTAGTTCCGTTTTTTCTCTTTTCTTTTTGAAAAGAACTTAACCATTTTGATAACTGGCATTATTTTGGTAGCACAAATTCATGATTTGTTTGGTTTACCGTTGATTGATATTAGTCGAAACGTGGGAAGAATCAAACGATCGGATGATAAATTACTTCCGAATGAAAATTTTTCATTAGTTACCGATGAAAAATTAGTTAGATTGCAACAACTTGCAGATTCTGCTCATGACCCTAAGTTATACGATTTATATCGTGTTGTCAATCATTATGTTGAAATGGCTCGAAGAAATCGTGAACATGTTCTTTGGAAATATGATACTAATCAAGAAGGTCTTGTTCTTGTACTAAAACAAAATTTAAATGGTATTCTATACTATGGTTGAAACCACGATAAGAATTTAACGAAACGTTTTATTTCTTCTGCTTGAATTAATATCTACCATTGTTAAGTAGCAAGATCAAAGAAATAAAAATTTGATTTTAATCTTTTCTGGACTAGTTTATTATATTCTTTCGCATAAAAAAGGAAT